TTTTTATGAATAATTTTTTCTTTGGTACTTTTTGAAATCTTCACTGATTTAGTTAAATGTCATCTTCAAAATTAAAATTCTTCCAGCTCTTACCAACTTTGTCGGTTTATGATATTTGTTATTTCTCATCAGTAAGTTGGCTGTTTTAAACTGTCACTAATTATTTTCCTTTATTGTCACCCAAATAAGCTGACACTCAAAAACCAACAGTAATCTTTCTCAGATATAGATCTAGACCCCCCAATTAATTACTTAAAAAGTAATATAAAGCTATATAAAAAGAAATATTGGTATGTATGAAAATATTGTGGATTATGTTTCCATCCTTGACATATAAGAGAACAAGCGAGGGATTAGTAGTGATAACAAATGTCATTTGTCTAGTGCTTCATAGTTTACAAAATGCTTTCATAAACATATCTCATGGGAGTGCAATGGCCGTTCTATGATGGAAGTATCACTATTTCATTGCATACAGTATTGTTCTTCTATATACTTATACAGGGAAAAGACCATTCATTTGATCCATATATGTTTGCAATGATGTTTTGGTTTCAATGTCAAACAATTTGTAAAATGTACTTTTCTGAGGGAACAACAGAGAGCTGCTTGTATCCAGTAACAAGGTTTAAAGCCTTTAGTTGTAAACCATGCTTTGCAAGTTCCAATGCTGCAAAATGAATATATACATTGGGCCAAGGATAAGTTGGTAAGTTGGTAGGTAGTGAGGTCTACAACAAATTGGAAAGTGCATTCCTGTATAAAGCTATTATATTTAAAAAATATTTAGGGGTACCTGGGTGGCTCAGTTGGTTAAAGAGCTGACTCTTGATTTTGGTTCAGGTCATGTTCTCAGGGTCCTGGGATTGAGCCCCATGTTGGGCTCCACACCTAGCAGGGAGTCTGCTTGAGATTCTCTCTCCCCTCTGAACCCCCCAAATAAATAAATAAATCTTAAAAAAAATGTTTAAAAAATATTTAAACACTGTAGACCAAAGGAAACATATCTGTGTGCCTCATAAGCAATTTCTATTCCACACTAGCAGAACATGGGTTATAAAAGAAGAAATAAAGCAGGAACACAGAAATACAAGGAGATCATATGAGAAATGAATTCGGTCACAAGAATTAAGCCTAAGGACTGAAGCACAAAGAACAAAGTTGGTAAATGGCTGATGCTCATCCAATATCATCAGCCACCTTTATCTCTCTGTTCTGACTTGGTTTTATTGTTGTTGTTGTTGGGACAGCATAATATAATGTTAAGAATACTATAAGTTAAGGATGTGACCTTGGACTTAGTTTCCTTATCAGTAAAATGGAGATAATAATAACTGTATTATAGAATTGTTGTGAGATTAAATAAGAGCATACATGACAAGGGCTTAGCTCCTTTCATGTTGTGAGTGGTAAATAAATGGTAGGTATTATCATCATTCTCATCATCATCATTGGAAAGAGCCACTTCCTCACTCAGCCCTTCAACTTCTCCTTAGTAAATACTTAAAGATCAAAATTAACTTTCAGACCTGTATGGTAATTAGCTTGCCAACGGAAAAGCAGAGTTTTTTCCTCTCACTCATATAAATCAACAACCACAAAACCAAAGAGAGCATCCCCTCATCCGTAAGCTGATCAAAAAGCTCAAAGAGCCCCGTTCCTTTAAACCAGAATAGGTATTGGGCAAAGTTAGTCAGGCTCTACCTAAAAGCAGCCATACTTGTACCAACGAGGCCATTGCTTTCTGAAGTGATGTTCACAGAAACGCCCCAGGGATTTGGTTCAGTTAAAAATGCATTGATCGAACATCTCTGAGATGAAGAGAACAGGACCTCTGCTCTTGAAGCTCTGACATGCCCAGATTAGTGGGAGAAAGAAAAATGTAAACAGGTCATTTCAATGCAAAAATGTAAACATGTCTGAGTTCCTCACTCTGATGTGCATCTTTCCCTTTCCCTTTTTCAGTGGGGCTCCATAAGCATCGTAGGCATGCCAGGGTTAGTCTGCTGTGAAAATACTGAGGGAAGACACATACCTGTTCTTCAAGGTCTAGCTTTAGCTTTACATCCTCCAGGAAGCTTTCCACTCTACTTTGATCTTTGACTTACTTGAACTCCTTTGAAAATTGCTGCTTAATCATTTTGGTCCTTAGTTATTTTCTACCTTACATGGGAAATAAATTGTTCCTGGTATATGCTCTACGTACCCAAACAGTATAGTAAGCCCAGAAGGACTTACACTCTTTTGAGTAATATGTGATGTTATAATCTGAAAAACTGAATGCTTTATTGTTGCCAGATTAAAGGTTAGTAAAAAATAGTTCATAAATAATAGATGCAATAGTTTGGGACTCTATTACATTGAAGACACCCATGAAACCATGTTTTGTAAAACTTGAAGATGTTTTGGTACAATTTAAAGCATTTGGGTTAGATTAGAAACAGAAAAAAAGGCAAATGTAAACATATCTGTTATACAGTAAATGTTCTCTTTCCACTTTTAATCAACATTTATATATTTGGCCCTGTTTTATAACCTGGTGGTAACAACTTGCATTTAAAGGGCAACAGAACACACACTCATTTGCCCCATAATTGAGGAGTTACAGCTAGAAAAAACCTTCAATGATCACTCATTTGTTTTAATACCACATGCAAAATGGTTGGGATGCCAACACTCCTAAAACTCACAAATCATCAGTTTATATTATGCTAATTTATCACCTAAATCTATTTCCTAAATACTGTTACTGAAACTCAAAGAAAATATGTTTATTAACATAAATGCTTTTAAAAGAGAGGTAAGAAAAAACCCCTAATAACAGCAAAGAAATGACTTTTGTGTGAAAACTAATAATTTTAAATGGATTGAATCCCACACATATTTACTTCCAATATCTAAGATTCAACCACTCTCATAATCTAATTTATTTTATTTTATCTTTCCTATCTTTCATATCTGTCTCTCCCTTTCATTTCCACTGCCACTAGTGAAATTCTGCTTTTTATTACTTCTCATTTAGATTACTGCCCACAACTGCTTCACCAGTTTCTTGACTTCCCCATCAAGCTGATCTTTTACAAAGATGCTGGATTAATCATTCCATACTACAGCTCTGAATTTGTGATTCCTAGCTCCCCCACCGCAGTGCCCACTTTCTTACAGAACAAAACCTAAACTACCTTAAGTCTAGGATTCACTGATTTTTGTGCTCTTATTCCAATTTATCTTTCTGAATTTCTTTCCCAATCCTTTGTTTCCTACATTACAAATACTATGTACATTCATATACACTTCATCCACTAAAGTGAAACTATTCATTGTTGCTATCTAATGCCTTTAACTTTCTAATCTCTATTTTCTTAATGTCTTCCCTAAGCTTAGGATACCCTTCCCAATTCTATCCATCCTTTCGTGCCAAGCTCAAATGTTCCTTCTTCCATGAAGATGTTTCTAAATTCCTCAGAAGTAATTAATATTCTTCTTTCTAAAATTTTATAGAATTTTTAACATCTCTCTTATAAAACTTATCTTTTTATACCTACCACATACTTAGGTAAGTATTTTTCTCCTCTACTAGGACTATGAAAGCTCCTTGGGAATGGAGTCTATGGCAGCTTCACCTTGTAAGCTCTAAATACCAAGTATAAAGGCTTTAAACATAGTAGATAACCAAATAGTTGTTGAACAAAAGGCTAGAGTAATTACTTTTTAGTAGTCTCAGAATTGTGGACTTTATACAGAAGATTATATATGGGATCTATATGAATGTTATTGATAATCATGAAATGAAAGTTATTAAATTTCAATAATCTGACTTGTTTCATAAACTAGATCAGTGGTTGTCCAGCTATTCTCCATAACACCTTTGGGATTCCAAAGAGGTGGCCTAGAGATCTCCCTCCTTGGCAGTAGAAAACGGTAAGTGAACATATTTCTGCACCCTACATTCTGCCTTCAACTAAAGCTGCTACATTTTGTATATTGGCCTTCTTTTTTTTTTTTTTTAAAGATTTTATTTATTTTTGACAGAGAGAGAGAGCACAAGCAGGGGGAGCAGCAGAGAAAGAGGGAGAAGCAGACTCCCTGCTGAGCAAGGAGCCCGATGCAGGGCTCGATCCCAGGACCCTGAGATCATGACCTGAGCCGAAGGCAGACGCTTAACCATCTGAGCCACCCAGGTGCCCCTATATTGGCCTTCTTGTAAGACTTTACTTAGAGAAAGCTTTCACTGTTTAAATTTCTTTTTTTTTAATCCCTTGGGGTTTCACCCCCTGGCACACTATAATTTCTTATTTGTTTCAAGTCTCTAACCTACATGAGTACACCTTCACATGAAACTAGGTAAACGAGCTGCTGTGTTTTGGCTGAATTTACTAAAAACTACCAAAACGGTAGTACAAAAATGGTGTTTCAGGTAATTTAAATCAGGACCTCCTATAATACCTGACTTTGTATGAGACCTGACATGCTATAATAGTCATTGACTTGAGAACTAGCTAGCTGGTGAATCTTTTTTTTTTTAAGATTTTTTATTTATTTGACAGAGAAAGACACAGCGAGAGAGGGAACACAAGCAGGGGGAGTGGGAGAGGGAGAAGCAGGCTTCCTGCGGAGCAGGGAGGAGCAGGGAGCCCGATGCGGGGCTCGATGCGGGCTCGATTCCAGGACCCTGGGATCATGACCTGAGCCAAAGGCAGACGCTTAACGACTGAGCCACCCAGGCGCCCCTAGCTGGTGAATCTTACAAACATCACTCTCTTGAAAGATCCCTGAGAAGCAGTTATATAGCTTTCTATTTCTGTAAAAGACAATGACAAAACTTTCTATAGCTTAGCCTTAAAGTAGCCTATCGCCTAATTCACACAGTAGAAAACCCTGATTTGCAATATATCTAAGTGAAGTTACACTGTATCTTCAGTGGAGATACACTGAAATCTGTCTTTGACTCCTAGTCAGTTACACAATTCTATGTTCATTATTTAGGGGAAAAAAAATACCTGTTTAAGTCACGGTGTATAATTGGCTGTGTCAGGTTGTGAAGGTACTCCATACCTTTGGCAACGTCTACTGCAATAATTAATTTAGACTGCAAATCAAGAATCCTAGAATTTAAAAATAGATTTAGTGAGGATGAAATGGTCAAAGCCAATAGCACATCTTTCTAAAAAGTATCAATGGAGTATGTGATTTTTTTTTTCTGTATATCTTTCAGCCTTTTTTGCTTTATTGAAGATTAAACTAAAAATTAAAAAAATCTGGAAAAATAGCTTTTCTACATCAGATCATGCTTAATTATAAATCAATTCAGATACCAACCGCTCATATTTAAAATATTCCACTTGATTTTATAATACTTATAATGCTATACTTAATTTTTTTATAATAACATAAGATGGATTCTACTCTAATAACTAAGTGCAACCACACTCTAATTATTGCATGCATATATCTAGGAAGTGAATTAAAATTAGATTTGTGCAAGGCTATTCTTTTTTAAAACGTTAAAAAATAAATGCTGTGACCCCTGGTAATTATTTTATTCTCAGCTTACATATATCTGCTTTATTAGTATGTCATATTTAGCCTAATTATTATAAGCTTCAGTTGCTAATTTAAATTCTTTGAATTTGTTATCTCCAATTGAATTCTTGTTAAGAAAGCACAGAAGTATTTCTATTCACTAAAACATAATTATTGGGCATAAATTATTAGCCATCTTTAAAATGCCACATTTCCTAGCACTCAGAGATTTCAGAAGGTAAAGGTGCATCCAAGCGGAAAACCTCTGTGGTATTGCAAGGATAATTCCAATGACATGTAAAATGATAAGTCAGAACAAGAAAACCATACCTCTTCTGTTCATGAAGGAGGGAGAACAGAGAACCCCCTGAAATGTACTGAGTGACGATGGCAAACTGACTGGGATCATTCAAGCAAGCACCCACAAACTGAATTACACAGGGATGATTGAGCCGGCAGAGAATGGACACCTCTCGGCAAAACATATCCACATCTGATTTGGAGCAGTAGGTGTTGGCTCGATAACTGGAAATGGCAGGAACAGGAAATCCTCAGTCAACAGATGGATCAAAACAAGGGGCTTGCCATGCATATGCTTCTTAAAGTTCACAACTCCAGTCTGATGCTAAATTTTCTCATTTGTTTGCTTACCGTTTTATAGCCACTATTTTATTTCTGCATCGTCCTTTATATACTTTCCCAAAAGAACCTGAAATTGTTTAAGAGAAATAAATAAACACATATTATCTTGAGCTCGTGAAACTAAAGCAGACTAGTCTTTTCTTAGGTTACCTGAGCCGATAATTTCATGGAACTCAATTTCTGAGAGCTGAAGATGGAAATGTGAAGGCAATCCAGCCCTTAGGAGGAGCACATCTGCCTTTTCTGCAAACAGGAATTGTTATTTTATTTTTAAAGACAAAAAACACACATGGATGTGTACACATGATGCACATATATACTTTACTTAGCCAAAAATGTCATTCCCTAGTAACATTTAATTTTCCAAATACAATTGACTACTTGGAGATACTAAAACCTTATCACAAATGATCCCTATCCCTTTGCATTAAAAACATTGTTTTCTGTCTCTGTCCCCAGACCTTTGATATCAGGGCTAAGTGTTTATTCCTAATTTGATCAATAACTAGCTCGTCTGCATGACACGGCAACCCTGCAGTACATACAGTTCATATCACATTATGATAAGGAGTTTTATCTGGTCGATCCCTGCAGCCTATCACAATGGGCTTAGACAAATATCCATAAGCTAAACCTCAGAGGGATGCCAATTAGATGTCAAAAAATAAGTACATGAATCATTCAGAGGAAATATCTCAAACCCAAAATAGTTTCTAAAAACTTCAAATTCTAAATAAATATAAATTTATAGTTGAATCATATAAATATGTATATATATTAATTTTCCTGATTCAATGGTATTAATTTCTATGTGCAGCATACATTCAAAAATTTCCCGAGGTATTACTTATTTGGGATCTTTTGGAAAATAACTTGTTTTTTAAAATGTATTTTCCTATGGCAAACCTATTCCCAATTCTCCTTAGAGATATTAATATTTGTAATTTAGACTTCATTAAAAATACAAATGTCTATAAGAATTTGATCTTTCTTTAATACTTGGGAAATTTTCACTGCTATACCTTCATGAGTCTAGATAGCATATGCAAAATAGTACAGTGGGCAAGGTTAATTATGGAGAGAATTGTTTGTTGCTAATATTGTTTATGCAGGCAAACTAGTCATCATTTATAATATGTAAAGCAAAACAGAAAGTTATCATATTTGAGGCAATAGTTATCCTTAGTAATAAAATATAACAATTGTCTCATATTAAAATACCTTTTGTCATGCTTTTAATCTTCCCCAAGGGGGACGGAAGAGACACATAGGAGCCATCTAGAAATCAAATTATATTATAGAGTTGAAAGTAGCATTTTTTCCACATAAATATTAAACATTATAAAAAGAAGCAGGTGACAAAAGAAATTTGCTAAGAAAACCAACTGAGAATAGAGTTTTAACCCAGGTCTTTTTCTGGATACTGAAACTGTATAGCAAGTGTTTATTTAGAGAGTACATAAAAAGATTAAAAACAAAAAACCAAAGTGTAGTAGACTCTGGAAGATTTAATTTGTGTCTGGGTATGAGTATTCTCTGGCCTGCCTTAATAGATTACTGAAATGGAAAACGACTGCTCCTAGCTCACCCGGGCCTTCCTGGTCATGCATAAGCCTCATAAACATCCAGTCCAGGGAATGCTAAACCTGAAGGAACTGCAGATTAGTGAGTTAGAAAACAGCTTAAGTGAAGGCTTCTTTATTTTCAGCCTTACCAAGACATAAGTTTTCTTAAAATAAAGCCAATCTGACATGCCCTCATCCCTAACCCCAGAAAAATAGTAATAGAAATAAAGGTTTACCTTTAGGCACAATATTGTACTAACAACAAAAACTTATTAAGAAAGGGATACCTCCTCCAGGCTGAGAATATTCATTACAGGGTAATTCATCCTGTGGTCTCTTATAATGCTTCAGGAGTGTGACGATTGCATCATGTCCTTCATGGAAAGACAAAAAGGACAAAGGGTCTTAATTTTTGTTTGGTTTATTCAGCTCATCATACAACTCAAAAGTGACTAGAGGTAGCTTGAAACATAGGATATATCTTAAGAGATAATATATTGCAATAGGAATTTACTTTCACCTACTCATTCATTCGTTCAAAACAATTCATTGAGACTCTACTGCATGTGAAGCACTATTTTAAGCACTATATTGGATAGTAGGGATACAAAGAACAAGGTGACTATGGTCCTATCCTTAAGAAGCTTAGCGTAGTTGAATATAAATGAGAATTTCTAAATGAAGAAACATGAGGTGCTAAGGGCACCATTACAAGGGTAAAAAGCACATATGGTAACCAGGAGAGAGGGATGTGTTTGCTTTGATTGAACATTACATTCGGTTGGCAACTGCAGCATAACATGGCACTAAGATAATTAACATAGGTTTTTGTGGCAGGAGACAGCTGTCTCTGTCTGTCTGCCTATAAATATTTGTACTTCCCATTCATGGGGTGATTTCGTCACTCGGAATGGCTGTCCACTCAGGGACAACAGTTCCCTATCGCCCTTGCATCCAGACGTGGCCTTGTGACAAATTCTCACCAAGGGAACATGAGCAAAAGCCATGCCACTTCCAACTCTGAGCTTTAAGAAAAAAGCTCAGCCTTCTCTACTCTTCCCTTCTGCTGGCTGGATGCAGAAGGTTCTGAGGCCCTAAGGGATGGGAAAAAGCCATCCATTGACCAGAAATGCCCACACTGGACTTCTATACAACTGATAAATAAATTTCTATTATATAACACCACCCAAATTAGGAGATTTATTAACTGCAGTAGGTAACATATTGTGAAAGATAAAAAATGCTAAATGCTCTTCTGAGTAGACCCATGATTTTCAATAGAACTAAACTTTTTGATACTATTTTATGTTTTAACTGTAAAAATGATCTACTGAAGCTAGTTTATACAAGAGAAAAACAAAGTCAGCCTTAAAAACCCTGCCAAGAGACTTGTGAAATGCAACAGAACTCATTGTAAAAATGGCAAGATTTAGGAATTGAAAAATCATACACGCTTATCCATCCCAGAGGGGTCATAGATAACACTTGTTCAGAATACACCTAGTTAATGTAGAGAGTATATGCTGAGAGTTATGCCTGCTTATCAAATCCCCCCTTCAAAAAAAAGAATTAAAATTAATAGAGCATGCAGATCATGAGATGGGGTAATTAAGATACTAACTAGATTAAAAGCTTTTCCAAATGTAATATCCCAACACCAGTTTCTTCAAGAAAACAACATTATGATAACAATTGCTAAAATTTGTAGCAAAACTTAAATCTACAGAGTTAACAACTAGTGCCCATTTTCTTATCCATAGATTTCAATTCATGACTGGTTGATTTGTAATTTTCTCAAATCATAGACATAGGTTATGATGAGATAATGAGGAGCCTGTCCTATTAGCATTTTTTCTTTGTATCTTCCTGTGCTCACAATCAGGGAAACCTCCAGACCCCAATGGCATGAGCCAACAGGCACATTTCTAAAGAGCCTAATATGGGGTGCCTGGATGGCTCAGTTGGTTAAGCATCTGCCTTCAGCTCAGGTCATGATCTGGGGGTCCTGGGATTGAGTGCCACGTCAGGCTCCCTGCTCAGC